CGGTGGATGGTGAGGCATTGTTTTAGTCATCTTTGTGTACATCTCTGAGATGACTTTCTTCTTTAAGGTATGTTCTTTGCAGAGTGTTTCTAATTGTGTGTAGGGACGGACAGGATTGTGTGCCAGTGGCCCTGTGAGAAGGAAGTAGGAGAGTTGTTTGTATTGAAATGTTTGCAGTACAGTGTGACCCTCTGTTGTAGTCTGCAATGGTTTCACCTGAGTTCCCGTGTCGTCTACAACCTCTGCGAGGCGTAGGTAGTGTGAGTCATGGTATTGCTTGAATGCCCTCCCATCCTCTCCTGGTTGAAAGAGAGGATTGTGTGTTATTGGATATAACGGGGAAGGGTAAGGTGACATTGTCTGGTGAGTCCTTATCTTGGCCCATATTCGTAAGGTTGGTGAGATTGTGGGATGTGGGGAGTGCAATAAAAATGGCAGTCCTGATTTGTGCCATGGTATTGTGAAGATGTGAGTCCTGAAGAAGGTATTTTCTATGTGTATCCATTGTGCTGTAGGGTGTGGGTGTGTCCAGTCATACAGTCTGGTCAGAAGGACTGCTTGGTGATATCTCTCTAGGTCTGGGAGGCCTAGGCCCCCTTCTTCCTTTGGTCGTGTGAGGAGTGAGTAGGCAAGCCTTGGGTTCTTGTGTGCCCAGATGTAGGTCGTAAGGGTTTTCCGGACCGTTGTGAACCATGACTTAGGTAGAGTAATTGGTAATACCTGCATAACATATAAGAGTCGTGGCAAAACATTCATTTTGAGAATGTTCAGCCTGCAGAACCATCCAAAGTGAGGTTTGTTCCAGGTGTTGAAATCTGATTGTATGTTTTTCATCAAACTAGGGAAATTACTCTCAAATAGATGGGATGCCTCTTTGGTTAAGTGAATACCTAGGTATTTTATCGTGCGGGTCGCCCAAACAAATGGATGTGTTCGTTGTATAATGTCTGCGTCGAGAGGGGAAATGTTTAGCGGCAGTATCTCGCATTTGCTGAGGTTGGCTTTGAAATTGGAAATCTTGCTAAATGATTCCATTTCTGCCATTAGGTGAGGTATTGACGACACTGGATCTGAGATTGTGAATAGCATGTCGTCTGCAATCGCTGCTATCTTATATTCCGTTGTGCCCGTTGTGATGCCTTTAATCGAGGTCTCGTCTCTAATACCCTGAAGGAAGGGCTCCAGCACCAGGACAAATAGGAGAGGCGACAGAGGACATCCCTGTCTGGTGCCGTTCCTTATTGTCACTGGTTCTGACAATTGGCCATTGACCCTAATGTGCGCCGTGGGGTGTGAGTATATTGCATTGAACCATTTGAGCCAATTTGGACCGAACCCCATGTATTGTAAAGTGTGTATATTTTCGTACCATCTGTTTGTAGGAGGTAGGGGATTTTTGAGGCCTGTTGTTGTTGTCTGAGCCTTTGACGCAAGCAGCTTCCCAGCTTTGTTGTCCTGGGCATATTCCCTAGTTTTAAGTTTCTGCATCGTGTATGGGGTTTTCCGTAGGTGCCACTTATTAATCAGTTTTTGTGTCTGGTCAATGGTGGTTTGCAAGGTGGGAGTTAGGGAAATGAAGTGTTGGGTGGTTGCGTCCCGCAGTTGTCTCAATAGTGACAGAAGATGGGTTTAGGATGTTCGCTTCATATATGAGGCTTGGCTAATAAAGATTCCTCTTACTACTGATTTATAGGCACGTCATTGGCTTAGTGCCTTGCTGTCTGGGGTATCGTTCGTGGTGAAGAATGCCTGCAGTTCCTCACCTACTTTCAATTTGAATTGCTCATTGGTAAGGTAGCTCATAGTGAGTTTCCCCGGTGGGTCAGTCATTTCCACGTCGCGCTGCGAGTCTTCTTTCCCCTCCATGCTGTCGCCATGTTTGTCAGGGGCCTGTTGGTCTGCAGGGTCAAATATAGTTTTTTGCGTAAAAAAAAGTTTTGTTTTTCTGCCTTGGTGGCATTCTTTTTGTTTTTATGTTGAGACATCTCAGCTGTGGTGCCATATTCTGTGTTCTGTACACCAGGATGGTGATGGATTAGGAGCTCTGGAGCCGGAGCTGTGGATTATGCTTCCATCTTGCTCGGCAATAAATAAGAAAATTACAAAATGTTACAAGAACAATAGGTTGATGACAACCCTGCTCAAACAAGCTTACAATCTAGAGCAGGGCTTCCAACGCGTGGTACAAAAAAAAAAAAAGTATTGAAGGCATTGCAAACACATGGGCTGGGTGAGTGGATCCACTCGGTGGCCCATGCACTCAGTACTACCCGATGGACATGTGCCCATTCTAACTTGCACGGAGTGTACGGAGGAAGTGAGAGCGAGATCGGAGGGGGCTGTGAAGGGGGCCGGGACGGACCATGAGCGGAGATAGCTCTCAACTCCAAAGAGCCCCAGCCAGCATACTAAAAGGTATGTGTCATTGTATCTGTGCAACTGTATGTGTGCCTCTGCATTTGCATGTGTATCAATGCTTGTATCTGCATAGGTGTGTATCTTTTTATCTGGATGTGTCAATGTTTATATATGTGTGTCTATGTATATGCATATGTGTCAGTGTGTGTATCTTTTTTATGTATCTGTGTGTGTGTTATTGTTTGTATCTGTCCTAATGTGTTTTATACCCCACCTCCTAAAGACTGTAAGCTCATTTGAGCAGGGTCCTCTTTAACCTATCATTCATGTTAGTTTTCTTGTAATTGTCCCATTGTCCCATTTATGGTTAAATCCCCCTTCTCATAATATTGTAAAGTGCTCCGGAATCTGTTGGCACTATATAAAAGGCAATAATAATAATAATAGCTGTGTATCTGTATGTGTGCCAGTGTTTGTATATTTGTGTCTGTGCATCTGCATGTGTATCAGTGTTTGTTTTTGTGTCAGTGTTTGTATCTGTGTCTATATGTGTGTCAGAGCTTGTATCTGCCTGTGTGTCAGTCAGGGGCGTACCTAGAGCATTTGGCACCCGGGGCGGATCCTGTGCTTGGCACCCCCCCCCCCGACCCAAAAAAAACCTGTAAAAAATGTTAAAGGTTTTCTTTAATTAATCCACACTCCTTAATTAAACCATACCCCTTAATTAATCCATACCCTTAATTAATCCATACCCCTTAATTAATCCACACTAATTCATCCACACACCCTTAATTAATCCACCCCCCTTAATTGATACACACACCCTTAATTAATCCACACTAATTAATCCACCCCCTTAATTAATCCACTCCCCCATAATTAATCCACACTAATTAATCCACTCCCCATAATTAATCCACTCCCCATAATTAATACACCCCCATAATTAATACACCCCCTTAATTAATCCACTACCCATAATTAATCCACCCCCACTTAATTAATCCACTCCCACTTAATTAATACACCCCCATAATTAATCCACCCCCCATAATTAATCCACCCTCCATAATTAATCCACCCCTATAATTAATTCACCCCCCATAATTAATCCACCCCTATAATTAATTCACCCCCATAATTAATTCACCCCCTATAATTAATATACACCACCCCCATAATTAATACACCCCATAATTAATATACACCCCCCATAATTAATACTCCCCAATAATACCCCCCATAATTAATATACACACCCCCATAATTAATACA